TGCTGAACAGCAGGCTTCATATCTGGATGGATAAGAGGAGAGAGGCTGTGGTGTTCAATAACAACTTGGGTACCTCTTCCTTTGGACTACTAATGTGTAGTTCCTGGAAGGAGAGGTCTGGAATGCTTTGCCTTAATTTGGCTTAATGCTTAATCTTTATCCAGAGTAAATGATATGCTGACAGCCTTTAGAAGATTAAGGGAAAATAATCATTAATTAGTATCTACCCTGCAGTCATAATGCAGGCTGTTATCTTATCTCCTTACAGGACAATATCAAAGCATGCTCTGTAAGCGAAGACAGAAGGGCTGGAACTTGTGCTGGAAGGGAAAGAAATGTTTCCATTTTTAGAGTTTTACACAGCTTGGATAATACTAGATTGGTTTTGCTCTTTTCCACTTGTCCTTATGAGCTAGCACATCACTGTAGTGATGTTCTAGCACTGTAGGGGAAAAGCCTACTCCAGACGATCTAGGACTTAAAACACCGCTGGAAACTTTTGAAAATGTCAGTGTCTAAAATCACTTACTGTATTAGGAAGAGAACCTAACTGTGTCTTGCAGCAACACTGTTGCCATGGAAAGTAGCATCCAAACTCAGCGTGATGACTTCACTGAAGCAGAAGGAAAGAGCTATGAAGGTCTATTTGTGAACACATTTTTGCTAGCTGGTAGAAGAGGTTTTACAAGTTTGAAAATAGAGTGGATGAATTAATTTGACATTTAAGAAGTTTGCAAATTCCCAGCCTGAGATATCTCCCTAAATTTACAAATTCTTTGGAAGTAGCTGCCCTGTGTCTTTTTATGTAGATTGTGCTGTTCTGAATCACGTATCAAGTACAGTTTCACAGGGTTTTATTTTTTACTAAGAAATTTGAAGTTTCCATAGGCATCCTGATCCCTCCTCTTCCTCCAGTATCCCTTGCCCTTCTATGACCAGTACTGTGTCAACTAAATCCTAATCTGAGGCATTTGCAGCAGATGCAAGAACCTCACAGAGCTTACAGATTTCTCCGCACGGGGTCTTATATGTTGTTGCTGTCCCCTCTGCCCTTACAGGTGTCTACTTTGACAGCTGCGTCAGACAAATCAAGTTTGTTGACTTCTGTGGGAAGTATCGCATCCCGCTGATGCACTACCTGTGCTCCCCAGAGTGCTCCTCTCCCTGCAGCTCTGCCTCCCAGAGCTCCACTTCCCAGAGCGAGTCTGACTCCGAGGATGAAGCCAGTGTTGCTGCACGCAGGATGGCGAAAGTCCTTCTGGGTTAACTGGGAGCGAGAGGGGAAGACTGGAAGGAATGTGTGTTTGAAGAGCAACAATGGAACAACGAAGCATGAGACTCTGGCCTGAAGGGCTCATGAGAAACTGTCCTCAAGTCCATGTAAAGGGCAGAACATCTTAGCAAGCCTAGACTTGCTTGGTGCAGTGCTACTTAGGAGAACTAGCTCAGTAGCATACTGCCTGTAGGGTGCCTGGGGTTGTTAGAAACCTCTGCTGTCCTGGAGACAGCCCCCCTCCCTCCTCCAGGCTGGGGAGGGGGATTTGTTCTCACTGGCGGATTGAGAAGGGTTTTAATGTATGACGCTTCACTGGGCTTCAGTCATCCTGCAGAGTAAAGGAGACTGTCCAGATCTTTTAACACTGTGGTAAATCAGAAACAGGCTAATGATGCCATGTGAGTATGTATGGACCCCAATATTTTATATAGCATTTTGATTCTTTGCTGTCTCCTTTGATTTCAGGAGTAGATTCTTCCAAACCCTGGTTACTCTTCCTTGACCTAGAGGCATAGGGTGTCTGTGCTGTTACAGATGTTACAGCCATCTTAGAACTGAGCCACCTTTTTTATCCCTTGTTATATCAAGCTGCTTTTAGTGTTTCCTTCTAACTGTTGTCTTCCCTCTGTGTCTTCCCATTACACCTGGAGTGTTGCTGTCTTTATGGTGCCTTCAGAAAACAGACAAGTTGTCCTGTTGAGTCTTGGTATTACTTCAGCCTTGTGGCCATACGTGCCTGGGTGAGGACCAGATGTGATGCCCTGCATCATGTTTTTGAGTCTTAGCTTATTGGAGCAAATCTGCTTTTGAATCTGTGAGTTGCAGGAAAGGTCTTGATTGACATTTCTTCTTTCTAAACAACCATGTCCCCCTACTGCAGCCACCTCTTCTGTGCTTGGTACAGAGTTGCATTTTTACTCTGAGGTCACCTGCTTAAAGTAGGCAGCAGCTTACTGATTAGAAGTACTGAGAGAAGTGCCATGGAGAAGGTTCGGTTGGTTTTTTTCTTATTCCTGAAGCAAGACTGAAAACTAGTAGGGAGGCCAAAGCCTGTTGTTTGAGCATCTTGAACGAGGTGGTTTTGAAACCTCTTCCTTATTTATTTGTTTGCATTTGCTCTTGTTATATCATCTTTGGCAGTCTGTTTTTCAAATAACACATTCTGTTATCTTAAACCATGTTTAAAACAAAGTTGCAGAAAATAGCTCAGAATTGTCAAGTATCAAGGCATAGCTTATAAAAATTAATACTATGAATTGACAGGGATCCATACATCTACTTTATGGGGCTGTTCTGTGTTTTGCTCAGTGAGAGCCTCTCCTTTATTAATAATTTAATGGCAGACAGTCCTTTTGCTTCAGTTTCCATTAGAGCAGATCCAGCTGTGCCTTTGGATGCATGAGCAGAGCAAGTACATTGTGTTAAGAAGCTAAACAAACAGGAAAAAAAAAATCTTAACTCATTTGACTCCTAAGGGAGAGACTGAAAACCTGTGTTCCTCTCGTGCACTCAGAAGACACATGTACCAGTTTGAGTATCTTATGGCAGCTCTGTGTTAATGGTCATCTTTAATTATATTTGACACTTTATCTATTAAAGCACTTTGATAATTCTAATCTTTGTAACTAGCTTTAGTGATTTCTTTTTTTATTAGACTCAATTTTTCCTTGAATGTGACCTGAAAAACAAGGTCTGTGAAACTTTGTACGTTCCAGTCTGTGTCAGTATGCAGGTTAAAGTTCTTGCCTGGCATTTCCTGAACAGCACTGTTCATTTCCCTGGTTTCCTTTGGAGAGAACTGGAATTAGAAAGAAATTATCTGGTTGTAAAATAGCACTCAGTCAGTTATTAATCATTTCAACTTAGTTCCCCACATGCACAGGTCCACAAGGAACTAAATTGCACATGCTCTGCCTTTCCAAGTAATTTTTTCAAAGTATGTTTTGGCATACAGACACTATAAGGTATATGTGCAAAGCAACTGGATGTCACTTTAGCAAATTTTGTGAGATTTGCTTGGGAAGGAGAACCCACAGATTTTGAGAGAAACCAACTGCAGGCTGTTCATTACATTTGGATCCACGAGTGCCTCATGTTTTGTTCTTCATCTCCTCTTTCAGATGATTCTTCCTGTCCCAAGTGAACGTTGTTGTGCCAGTGCTAAAGGGCAGAAAACTGCTTGCAGAGCCACAGTTTTAAACTGGCTGCTAGTGTAACAATGATTGGAGTGATCTAGAGCTTGGCTCTTCTGCCAGTGAAAGTGAACCGCACAAGCTGAGGTCTCAAGATCTTTTGAGCTCAGGGCTGTAAGGTATCACCTTCCTTTCTTCTCTTCAGCAGCAGCTGTCTTGAAGTCATGCATTTTTTCACCTCACAAAGTTAGACTTCTCCGCATCTCCTGCTCACACAGTAGCACCTCTGTGTGACAGGCTAAGACCAGTGGTGGCTGGTTCTAATTTAGCTTCATTCTTAACTGCATTTTCTTTCCTAACTGAACAGGCATCTCGTTTCTGCCCCAATTCTAGTAGGGCTAATAGGTGAATCTTTTTTCACAGCTTCTTCACTATAGCCAGGCCAAAACTTGACAGCTCATGCAGTTAATATTTCTATGCATTTTTAGACTTCATAAAATGTCTCTTAAAAATGTATATATATTCCCGAATAAAGCTACCAAGTTTTCTTTTTGCTGCTGGGATTTAAAGTGCAATTCAATGAAGTAAGAATTTAAAACAATCAAGGACTTGTAAGAAAAACAAGTGGTTGATTGTTTGTTTTTTTTTCCCTTGGAGGTGAGTTTTAGAGGACTAGAGATGGAAGTTTGTACTGTAGTGCCTAACATACTGAGCCCCCAGGAGTCAGGTTTTTTAGCAATTGTTATTCCCCAGACTGGAAAAGATACTGGGAAAAAAAATAGGTAAGACACAACTTGAAAATACAGTGATGAATGGAAGGGACTGGTTCCCCACCTTCTCAGAGGCCCTGAGAAGCAGACTGGTTTTGCCAGCATTATAGCTCTTTTTGTCAGTTTTAAATAGTGGATTATAGTTCCTACAGATGCTTCTCTAAGTGAAGTCATCAGACAGTGTTTTGGTATCAGTCCCCTTGTTGCTACTCCAGCCCAGCACGTCCCACTCTTGAAACTGTTCTTAAGCTGAGCCACAAGTGTGTGAAGCAAAGTTGCTCCTTCCCTCTTCCCCACAGGGCCTGGGGCCCTGCCTGCATTCATCCTCTGCCCCGATATCTTTCTGCCAAGGGGAGCTGCTGGTGCCTTTCTGAATGCAGGTACTTGATGTGAACAGTGGGGTCATGTTAAAAAGAAGCAAAATATCAATGTGACTGGAAGCAACTTACACAGTTGCCAATTCTCCTCTGTTTCTTTCTTTAAGAAGAGGTGAGACTTGAGGAAGTGAGTAATGAATATTTAAACATACTCTGAAGTGGCCAGATGCAGTTTTTTTTATGGGCTTCTGTCCTGGTCATTTTAAGTCTTTGAAATCTTGCATTGAATTATAATGGGAGCCGGGCGGGGGAGGGAAGAGAGAACCAGCTCCTTTTTGTTCCTTACTCTTGTTGGCAATAATGAATGGAAGGAATTTAATCCAATGAAAGTAATGAAACTTAATCCCTGCAATGTGTCTTTGTTATGCAGTTCAAAGAAGTATTTTAATGCATCTTATTCACACCATGCCCTCCCTCCCCAGCTGAAGATACTTCAAATAGACTCCTTCAGAATGCACACTAATACAGCAGTAACTCTGTCTTGGAAACCTTTCTATTGATTATTTAATTTGCCTGCCTCACTAGAGGATTGATCTCTTACTGACCCAAACATTAAATGTGGAAAGGGTTCCCATCCAGCCCTCTTGTTGAATTTTCATCATGAGCATTTGTTTTATGAAATCTTAAAGTGCCTTATGTTTTTAAAAGTGTATTTTGCTAGAAATATATGAATGTAGAATATCTCTAACAGTATTTCATTATGAGCTGTAAAACAAATTGCAAACACTAAACCAGAAAATGTTATTTCTACAGTTGTCTGTCCATTATTTACTGGTGTCTTGATTCTGGTGTTGCTGCAGGCAGAGCCCTTGCAGAACTGGAAACACTTTAAAATGGGGCTGCACGTCGTTGGGGAACAGATGAGATTTGACCTGTGCTGTGTAAAACCAAGAGAAGGTGAGACTTGAAAAAAAAAAACCCTAACACTCTTGCCTTTTGGGGCCCACTTGTGATAGACTAGTGTGTGTTACAGGCCAGAGTCTGTTTTACTTCTGGTGTAGTGAAATTTGCTTCACAGTTTAAAGATAGAAGTACCTCCTGGGCAAGATAAATATGCAAGCAACAGCAGCAGGCAGTGTCATGGTGGAGTTTTCCAGCAAAATGAAACAACAGTTCTAAATTTCCGTCTTAGTACACTAATCCTGAAACCTGTAAATGACTTTTTGAACATTAATTTTCTGATCATGTTAACTGGCGAATGTGTTCCCATTTCTTGTGTAATCCCATGTTTTCTCCAACATTCTGAAGAGTTTTTGTGATCTGTTGCCAAAATGTTTCAGATCCTGCCGTGCAATTACCAGTTGTCAGTGCAGAAATGTGGTGTGTTGGAAAATGGGACAGTGGGAAACAAGAATTGCTTTATATTAACTTCAGCAGG